CCCCTTTTAAAGCTGAATTGAATGGTGGTAAGTTTTTTAAAATCCAATGTGTGGATCACATAATATTTCAAAATTTTTAACTTTTGAGTATAGATGATCTGCACTGTAGCCGTGTCACAGTTTCTAAATTCATAATTTTTTAAATTGTAATTTGCACCAAAAATTTTTAGCCGCTGAGAAAGATGTCAATACTATATTTACACTCGGTGGACAAAAGTTTGCGTCCGAAATTTCTTTTGAATTTATTTCAAAACTATACTAATTAAATTCTCTTGTTCTTGAAAATATTAAATTTTGATGTAAAAATATAGCAAAAAAGTTTGTTTTTAAAACAATTTTGAAAATGTGAAAGAACTACGAATTTAAATTTAATTGACAGTATGCCCTGAAGGGTTGAATATTGCATTGTCAACAATGGGCTGGCCAACTAGATATTAAATAATATTTTTTTTGAAATAAAAAATAAGCCTCTATCTATCAACATTTCGTTATTTTTACTTCGGTTTTTATTTTTTATTTTTATCTTTTTTTTTATAAGAATACTTCAAAATTTAATGTCACAAACATATTCTCAAGAACAAGAGCTTTCGAATGACATAAAGATTACAATATTTTAATTAGTATAGTTTTGAAATAAATTCAAAAGAAATTTTGGACGCAAACTTTTGTCCACCAAGTGTATATCTACAATTTCATAGATATTTAATTAATAACAAGTGCAGCAAGATATGGTCCATTGAGGCCAATGAAATTTTGGTCTGGTCCGTTACATCAATGAGTCAAGTTTTTATATAGCCCAATTTTTATTCAAATCAAGATCTTCGATTTTGAAGGCCAAAATTGAAATATGCCTGGCAAAATCACTAAAAAGGTAAATTAGACATTGGCACAGCCGATCATCTTGGTTGTATCTACGTCAAACTATTAAAAAAGGTATATTGATTGGACAGTATGATTGCCAACTCTGCTCCTGAGATTGCACGTAGACATTATCGTGTTTCCTGTTCCTTGCTACACAATCAAAAATTTCCAAAAAACATCAACAGATGGCTTTTAAGACTATCAACAACAACAAGCATTAATATAATTCAAAAAGCAGCTTCAACAAATATCGAGGAACATCGACATCAATACCAACAACGCCAACAAAATATCAATCCAATTCAAAAAGTAGCTTCAACTAATATTGAACACCATCATCAATAACAAATATTCGTTCAGCTTCAAGGTCGCTTTTCCGTCAATAACAACAAAGTATTCATCCAATTAATAATAACGAATAAAATTTAAATTCTGTCATATAAAATAAAATGTTGCAAGCTTTAAGTAATTTTTTATATGATGTAAAATATTTACATCTTATATATATATATATGTTTATATAATTAATGTTAACCTAAATATAGAGAAATCAAAAATAATAATAATAATAATAATAATAATAATAATAACAACAACAATAATAGTAATTGACCTACCTTGAAGATAATTTTCTTTTAAATCTTTAGACGGAATCCATAATCATTTCCACTTTGATTTTCAAATATTGATCCCAACATTGCTTGTTCCTCTTCATCCATTTCTCCAATCCCATGAGCAACATTTGGTGCAGATGGACTTATATAAGATCTTCGACTAAAAAAATCAAATAAACATTAAATCAATTAATCTTAAATAAAACTTTATCATCATCATCATTATTATTACCGTTCGCCACCACCTTTAGATGGCCAAGTGGGAAACAATTCTGGATCTTTGGGCAATGGACTTTCCCTAATACAAAAAAAATTGATTGATTGATAAATGATCAACTAAATAGGCGAATCGTGACTTATAGATTAAAAAATGAATGACATACATGAAATATGAATGTTTTAAGGCCTCATCTGCCGTAATTCTTTTGACTGGGTCATAGGTTAATAATTTTGATAATAAATCTATACCATTTTCTGTTAAATATGGAAATCTAGTACGTAATGAATCATTTCTAAAGAATAATGAAAATAATGAAATTTAGATTAGTATCTCAAATAAAGCAAGGAGTCCACACCCATTCTTTATGATTATTAAACTTACGATTGTTTTACATATGTGATATTTTTTGCATGTGGCAACTTTGAAAATCCTGGCCATATCTTTTCATTAGGCATTCCTAATAATTTAATAATCTGAATAACAATAATATGAAAGTTGCATAAATATGAATTAAATAAAAACGATATTACTAATTATCTTTATCGATGTTGTTATCATTATGATTACCTTATCTAATTGATCTATCTCACTTCTTCCCGGCAACAATGGCTCTTTATTAACCAATTCACCAAAAATACATCCAACTGACCACATATCCACGGCAGTAGAGTATTTTTTTGTTCCTAGTAATAATTCTGGTGCTCTATTTTTTTTGTAAAAAAAAAAACCAAAATAATCAATAAAATAATTAATGGTAAGTTATAATATTCCTGCCAAAGAAATAAATGCATTTACCGATACCAGAGTGTTACAACAAGTTGAGTCATAGGACCTAGCGGGCTTCCATATTTTCTTGCCAAACCAAAGTCAGCCACTTTAATTTGACCACGATTATTTAATAATAAATTTGAAGTCTTCAAATCACGATGGATAATCCAATTATCATGTAACATTGCCACAGCAGATAATAATTGAAGCATTATTGTTTTAACCTCTGATTGTAAAAAAGGACTTTGCATATCTTCCATTAAACTTTTAAGATCATGTTCTACAAAGTCCATCACTATAAAAATTCTAGTACAACAATTAATAAATATAAAACAACCAAAAAATGATAAAAAAGTGATGTTATTTTATTAATCTTTAGCTTACTGTGTTAATGTATCACCAACAACAATTTCCCTGACATTCACAATATTTGGATGTTTAGCTAAAAGTAATGTATGTATTTCTCTCAAAGATGTAATAGGAAATCCATTCTTCTCCTTATCTAATTTTAATTTTTTTAATGCAACTATTTCACCAGTGGCCTTATCTTTAGCACGGAAAACAACACCATAAGCACCTTCTTCAATTCTATTTAGCTTTTCATAATTATCAACACTCCTACATCCAGCAAGTGCAGGTGGTTTAGGTGCAGGTGGTGGAGTGATGATTTTTTCCACAACATTTTGAGGTAAAGGGACAGGCTTTGGCGAGGATGTAGTGGCATCAGTATGTGAGCTATAGTCGTCTCCTTCTGAATCAATTGTCGTCCTAATTGTTCTTTTGACACGTTTCTTTTTAGTTACTATTCTACGTTGTTGTTCACTTTCTGACTCTTCACTTTCTGATTCCCATTTTGATTTTTTAGCCGTACCTTTTGAAGATGATGGTGGAGTACTTGTCGCAATCTTTATTTCTGATGTGTGTAATTTTTCTGAAGAATCAACCTCCATAATTACTTGAGGAGAACTGTTGTCGTTATTATCTTCCATGATGAATAATTTTTTTATAATATATCACGTGAACAAAACTGCATATTAATTAATAACAGTCTAACTATATTAATATAGGGCATGGACAATAGACAATAGAAAGGGGGTGATAATAATTAATATATATTAGTGAAAATTTTGTGCAACAATTTTTTCTACAACAATCTTGATTTAACTGACCAATTGATTATAATAATTCACTGATTTTTATAATTTATGATTTTTTTAATATACATATGGGCCAATTTGTTCGATCGGCAAAAGAAAAAAGTATTAATGACACGTGGACGTTACATTTTGATGATCATTATTTATTTTTAGATATATATAAATAATTAACTGTATTACTATTATAAACGTAATTTTTGAAACGGGATTCTTTTTTATTGGTTTCTTTTTAAGTGGGATTCTTATTACTACTATATTTAAAGGTCGTAGGAGAATATCTTTACTTAGGAACACAAGAGTGATTATTATGTGCGTTATAGATTCGTGTATGATGACTTGTGATTTTAATATATAAAAATAATCAATTTTTAAATGTCACAGGATGTCGATCAAAAAAATTGGCCCGTATGAATATATAAAAGTATTGGTTTTGTTTTTTGAATGAAGGAAAAAAATTTTTTTCGGATCCTTGACCCTAACCAACCTTTTTGATTTATATAATAATTTGACCCACAGATTGACCCTAACACTAAATTAATTTGACCCTATTATAATTACTGACAAGAAATTATATTAATTAATATACAGTCGACCCCCTTATAGTCACACCCCTCGGGAATGACTAATGCTGTGACTATAAATGAATGTGCTTATAGAGGGTATAAATACCATCACAGTGTGCTTATATACTATTTTTCAAATAATTTATTTAATAAAAATTTTTAACAATATATAGACAAGTATTCAAATTTTTATATTATTAGCATTCTTTCTTTTCAAAATATGCATAAATGCTTTTTTGGATCTTTGGTTCCATAAGTTTGACAATACCTATTTTCTAAAAATGTGCAAATCATCAATTTTAAATTTTTTGTTGTTTTTCTGTTGCTCAAAAAAATTAATAAATGTTTCTAAACCATTAATTGCATTTTTTTACTAGTATCAAAGGTATTTCTTCATCTAATGATGAAT